ATGGCGTGAAAACTCGCTAATGTACAGTTTCGTGGTGTTTTACGTATCAGCTACTGAGGCTGACATACATTTGACAAGGATTTCTCCTGTGAAGCCAACCTGTCGCCCTTCGTGGCCGCAGTCTTTTCACCTGACCATGTGGCAAAGCTGCGCAGTAACTCTGTCGCGTAAACCTTGATCTTCGTTGCAGCATATCGCGGACGCATAAGCACTCGGTTGTATGCGTCGAAAGTTCCGTCAGAACAGGCTTCAGAACTTATTTCTCTTACATATGCCGTACAGGTATGTTTTTTGACATTGAGCCTTCGGCCTACTTTCTTACGCCGCAGACTGACTCGGTTACCGATGTGCTGCACTTAGAGGAGCACGCTGTCTACAGCCATCGTATACGGCTGTCGTGGCGCAGTATACTTGAGCCTCATTTCCGGTGACAGCTAGCGCCTCCTAGCGGCCGGGCCCGCCACCGGACGAAATGCCCTCTGAGACGTATAGCGTTACCCGATCACGTGACGCGCGGCTTCTCGGAGTAGGAGCTCTATGAAAGGTCAATAAGAAGATATTTACTGTCGGACCTGTTGGCGTCATCGGTCTGCATAGAGTCGATAACGCGATTTTGTGCATCAGAGCGCACGACATACAAGACGTAATCTTGTTCTAAGCATCATATCTTGTAAACGTAATCATTGCCATCGTCTTCATCGTCGGTCTATAATCTTTAACAGCCCCAGATGATTCTATTAGTTTCCTGTTTGCCCAAACTTTGTAGAGCATGCCGCCAAGCATGCTTCTTTTTGTGTGTAATGCTGCCAGCCTGTCGCACATGTTGACACGGCGCAGTCCGCGCGAAAATGTCTGGCGCTAACTGTCTAGCGCATTTGAAACTGCTTCATCATCGTCTGTTGTGCTTGAGCGTGCAAACGCAAGCAGTTGAGTTTATTCTCGAACGAACGCGACCACCAGTGATGAAGCTAGAATGTTCGATGCTGCATCTATGAATGCCTACACTCATTGCCGCGGATAAGCTTATCGACGGCCAACGTTGATTTCGTAGCAATCATCGTACACTGTCGTTCTTTATGAAAGGGAACACGTGAGCGCGTAGGAGCTCTCTGCGGGGGGGGGGGGGGGGGGGCTTACTACAGCCTCATCAAACGACATCGAAAGTATGCAAACACGCTTTCAGCGTCATCTATCGCCAAACGAAATAACGAGTCATGGCTGGTTGACTTCCACTGTTAGATTACGCTCCCTTGATAATTAATTAATTAATTAATTAATTAATTATTAATATGTGGGGTTCAACGTCCCAAAACCACCATATGCTTATGAGAGACGCCGTAGTGGAGGGCTCCGGAAATTTTGACCACCTGGGGTTCTTTAACGTGCACCCAAATCTGAGCACACGGGCCTACAACATTTCCGCCTCCATCGGAAATGCAGCCGCCGCAGCCGAGATTCGATCCCGCGACCTACGGGTCAGAAACCGAGTACCTTAGCCACTATATATATATATCGTATGAAGTCCTGGTAGTCTGGGTTGCGACAGCGGTTGACATGAGGTAATGAGGAAAGACCTCGCAAAACGAACGGGCAGAGCCAGTACACAGACGATGACGATGATGATGAACCAGAGTGGCAATGAGGACAGAGACAAGCGGATGATGGTGATTGTGATCATGCAGGGATGAGGACGATGCAAGTAACAAATGCCCACACTTTATATATATATATATATTATATATATATATATATATATATATATATATATATATATATATATATATATATATATATATATACCTGGAAGTGTTCATAAAAAGGTTTTCTCTTGTCTCAGATGCTACAGGACCTGCCAGCCGCACCGAAGCGTCACTCCTCTCAAAGACGGCTGATGCGCACTTCTTCCTTTATTTGTTTTGCTTGTTGTGCCAGTACAAGCCATTCGGGACTGGTTTCGGTTCGTGCGATTTGCATGCGCATCCACATTCAGGCGCCACATCCACTTCCGTGCCCCACTCGTGTCTCTTCAGTCAAGTCTCTGACGTTCAATCACACTCAAAGCGTGAGGCCAGTCACGTTGTTGCGGACGTCGGATGTTACTGACCACTGACGAACCACGCTTGACCGGAGCCGCGCGCAAACCGGCCCCCCGAAGATCGAGACTCCGCCTTTCGAAACTAGCACCAGGAAACGCCATTCATCCGTGGACGGCGTTGCGAAGTTTGTATTTTTCACAGCTGTAAGTCCGTCCGACCAAAGTCTCGTCTCTGAACGGACCATGCCATCGCGGTGTTAGAATCTTCTGCTTATAAGTTGAAACGATGGGAAAATAAACACTAGCACAAGAAAACAAGCAAGTGGCACACTTCATTATGCACGAGACGGGGGTCTCCACAACAAGCTGCTGTCAAATGCGATGATGCAAAGCCGGTTTCGTGGCCTCCGCTTCAAACCCTTCGGTCACTGGTAACTCGGCGTTGCTGTCTGTGTGCAAAAAGAAGGAAAAAAAAGTGAGCGGTTGCCTCGCCGTCTCGGGCGTCGTGTGCTAGACTATGTAGCAGACGACGACGCACCCCACCGGCGGCAGGTCGACCTTTCTCGTTCTTGCTCGGTCTCTCCCCTCGAAGATTGGTGTGGCGTGGATTTGAGGGTGAGCGAAACAAAAGTAAATACGCTTCTAGCCGGCGCGCTGATCAGCTGAGATTAGAAGACGGAATTAAGCGTACCGCTGACGGAGACCGCCGGGAGACTTTTAAAGGGGAGCGGAGGGTGGGTGATGGCGTGCACCGAGATGAGCGAACCAGACGAGCAGGCGCGCCTCGTCACTTTGCCTGGCAGACGTCGTCTACTCTCTTCCCACGTGACGCGTCGTCTACTTCCCACGTTTGGCGTAGTGGATCTCTGCCAGAAGTTATTTGAGAAAAGCTGCTTCGTCGGGGGGGGGGGGGGGGGGTGCAAATGACGATGGCCCCGGCAAAACAGCTGACGGGGCTAATGGTGTTGAAAAGGAAGAAATCAAAAAGGTTCTATACTCTAGCTGAGAGTCGATGTAATTTTGCCTGTGTGTGTGTGTTAAATGTGCTAAACAAATGTCCCGTCTGGGGCACGCATTTCAGCGAGGTGCACTAGAACAATAACCTCCTTTTAGATTAATACAGTAATTGTGAGAATTTTATGTCCCATAAACCATGATATGCTTATGAGAGACACGGTGGGGAAGGGCGCCGAAAATGTTGATCACCTGGGGTTCTCTAATGTGTATCTAAATCTAAGTACTCGTGGTTTGAGTAGTTCACCTGTATCTAAATGTAACTGTCGCCGGCATTAATTCCTGAGGCTTTCGGGTGTGCAGTCGAGCATCATAGCGACTAAACCACCATGGCGGGAAGCTTTGTTTAGACCCGAGGTTGTTTTAGTGCGTGCATGTGATGCAAAGGTTCGGGTTTCTGAAATCTCTCTGGGTTTCTGAAATTCACCAGTACCAGTTATATATATAATAACCGCAGTGGACCGTGACTCATTATTTCGGCCTTCAGTTTATAAAGGAATAAGCTTAACACGGCCACCCACCTCCCACAAAGGTGCACCAAGAAAAAAACACACCTGTACGTGTAATAAACACGCAAACACAAATGCGGCTGCACACACACACTCACACGCTAGGCAAATGTAACTTCTCGTACCTTAAAAAGATGACCGAGTCAAGTGACGCAAGGGGCCAAACACCAATGAGCTCCTTGGAGTCGCACAAAGCAAGAAAACGCCAAGCTGTCCACACTGCTCAGCTGTCATTAAAGCGGGTCAGAGCTACCTGTAATATACTTCGATGTGATCGCGCATCTGTCTATGCGCTAGAGGATGTGATCCTGTAGCGCATAGACAGGATAACCACTGGCCATTAAGGGTAACTAAATGGATTCCCAGAGAAGGTAAGCGGGTTAGGGAGAGACAGAAGGTTAGGTGGGCAGATGTGATTAAGAAGTTTGCGGGTATAAATTGGCAGCAGCAAGCTCACGACCGAGTTGACTGGCGGAACATGGGAGAGGCCTTTGTCCTGCAGTGGACGTAGTCAGGCTGATGATGATGATTGCGGCTCACCTACATTCGTGTACGTGTGTTTGTGTATATATTTGTTGCCAATAGCGCATAGCAGAGACGACATTAAAGAGTTTTTTCGCAGGTTTTCAAGGCTGTATAGCGTTGAAGCACTCCGTTTCTAATATTCAAGTCTCGGTGGGCTCAAAGACCATATACACAATTAACGGGACAGTTGGTGCGATTTTTGCCAGACAGGCACTGACAACACGTACGAACCTGACGTCGGTTGTACTTTTGTCGTTTTTGGGAGCCATGGTAGTTCTAGGTATAAAAATTAACTAGCACACCTTTTAATGGGACGTTTTTTTTCGCGACTACTGTGCAAGGTTTCTTTCTTCAGTTTCAGTTCATTGTTCAAAACACAAAGGTTAATGCGACAGTCTAAAATGCCGATGATGGTTCCAAAGTCGAGCGACTGAAGTGGGACTCCTGGGTGTGCTGAAAGTAGTGAAAAGCCTGAGCTCCGTTCTGGAACACCGTACTATTCATCTTAATGTCGCTTGCAGTTTTAACCGCCTAACAAAATATGTGTAGGCTTAAAGTTCGAGTTTTCATGCACCATGTGACTCCGTCTCCCAGCAGCAAATCGTAGTTCAATATTCAACTATCTCGAGGGTCAGCCCACTGGACTGGTTGCACCCGTCCTGTCGACGGCGCCACTTATATTCGACCAATCCCTGAGATCATACGATTCGCGCATCACACACGTAACGTGTTTTGAGCCTCCGCGTCTAACGATTTTGCTTGGTAATCAAGTCATTAAAAAGGTGCAAAGCGCCATGAAGAATACAAACATTTGTGAAATTCTAGTATTTATCTTCCCCGAGATGGTTCACGATATTTGACAGTTCATCAGTCGGGAGCTCCAGCTTGAACGTGGTCGCACTTCTTTTCTAATGCAGCACTACTGACCTTCGTCAACTGCTGGGACGTCAAGTGGTCAACGCGTGTCCAAGATTTCTTCACCTACGGCAAGTTGATTGCCCTGGCCACCATCATCATCACCGGAATCGTGCAGCTCTGCTACGGTGAGTAGAATGTCGAAGCTCATTCGGTTTGATCACAGTGACGAAGACAGTTAAGTACAGCCATATATAATACGGGCTTGAAAAATAAAGCTGGGGAACCACCCAGTCATATCAGACAATACATTACTTCCTAGAAAACTTGAGCAACACAGATGCAGCAGTACCTAGCTGTACGCAGTGCTTACTTACATTAGGTGTCGCAGACTCTTTAACACCTTGTTTTATATTCACAACGGCTTCCATAGGGACTTAAAAATCACTGTTATGCTAGTGTACAGCTTGTACTGAATATATTTTTTATTATAGTTAGCATGTCCTATGTTACTTCACTGGTGTGGTTTTTCTAATGTTCGAGTTTATTTCTATGTCGACTAAGTGCACTAAAAAGACTGCTCCTTAAGCCCTCGTTCTTCTTGAAATGAATGTGTTACACTAATGAATGTTTCTGTAACTTACGCTCGCTATTGTTCCTCTGTACACCCTGGCATGCTTGCGGGCAATAGTGGGGACGTCATAAATGTATCTGGCTTTCGTTACGTGACAAGCGGCACTGACAAGTACGTACGGTAAAAAGATGGTCGTAAATCAGGCCGTTGGCGGGCGCGCCGTCAAAGCTGCAGCAGCTGGAGTACGTGATTTGTGCCAGCGTCTCGAATGCGGGTGATCGTCGCTTGCAGGTGCTTATCGAATCGCCGCCAGGCGGCGCCGTTACCTACGTCGAACTATGAGCTCGTTACAAGCACACTGAGGTGAAAACAGGTTTAAAATAGGCTACCCATTTGAATCGGGTGGAAACAGCGCAAATAAAGCAATACACAAGCCAAAGGCTCACACGGGGTGTTATTCCGGATACTCAAATTCCGCCATCTTGTGTGTTTCTGTAGTGCGGCATTTTAGCCAATCGGAGAGTCTGTAAGAACCCCGCGAGCCAATCAGAGTTAACAAGATGGCGAGCCCGACACGGAGAAGTTCTAAAGTGTTAAAAATATCACTCAGGTCTCTCTCGAACACGGGCAAATCCGACTTTGACACTATGTCCTGGTGCATGCGCCCTTCCTCTGGTGAGAAAGTCGTGAATTGTTGTCTCAAAACATCTGCATGCCTTTCGATTTCAGAGGCTTTTTGTTGTGGTGAGCTAAGTTGTCCACACTCTCCCCACGAAGATCCGTCTCCCTAGGAAACGCGGTATAGAGGGCATCACAGGAGAATAAAGGGGGATGGCGCTTGTCTGTGCTGAAGCAGGGGCGACAGCTGGAACAGTCTTTCTATAAGGGTGACGTCAACCGACGCACCGCTCGGGATTACCGGAGAGTGACTGGCAGACAACCTTGCGAAACGGACTCATGCTCTATTAAAATACAGGGGCCCGTGCAAGTTTACTTATGTTTTTTATCCTTGTGTCCATAGTGCAGTTAGTGAGCGTACTGGTTCTGGTGCTATTTGTTGTTGCTGGTTGTGGTGTGAGGTGCCATAATGTTGCTATGACTGCTAGTAACAGCAGTGTACGAGTGTTATCGAATCTATTTAGTGCAGTCTCTTTACGCTTGTTTACACGTATGATTGTGGCCCGAAGACCAGGAGATATTTCTCCTGGTGTTTCAAGAAATTTTCTTTCCGTATAATTAAAAAACATTTCATTCTTTAGCAATAAGCAATATTGACTACTGAAGCTTTTGTGTCCGAGTATGTGTTTGATCAGTTTGACAAAAAGTTGCACTCTGCATAAGAATGTTCTGGGGGTTATTTCTGTCCCATTGGCCGCTTTTTGGAAGACCTGTAGTTAACATCATTGCGCCTCTTTCTCCGTAATTCGGCACGAAATTCTATCCCGTATATCCAAAAACTGCTTTCGATTTGCCACTTTGCATAATGTGCCTGCCATTTAAGGCATCCAAATTCGTATCTCCCTTCTTACACAAATACATGAAGCATACGATTCGACTTCCGTGCTTGTTCCACGTTCTCCGTGAGGATCGGTGCCACTTTGCATGCTTCTCTGTGTGAGTGACAGGGGCCGAGGCGTTGTCTCGTTGAGGCGCGGCTCTCTCGACATTGTCGGACTCTTCTTAGCCTGTCGCTCCTGAACAAGCTGCACCGCTTTTGTGCTGCTCGTTAGACGTTGTCGCGTAACCTCTTACGCGCGTGCTGTCCTCGAGTGCTTGCCAGAGTCGCTGCATACAATTGCGAACTCCCACACGCTTACACTTTTTTGTATTAGCTGGGGCAGCGTTCCCATTCGCCTCGCAATTGTCATCGCCACTACTACTATGACCTCCCTCTCTATGAGACAGCAGCGCTCGCTGCTCTGCATGCCTGAATGCGCATCCTGTTTTGAATGGAACTTCTCTTGTGTTTAGTTGCTTCCTTGTGCGGATTATTTCTTTGTTGGAGGAAGTGTTGTGTGCGTGCGTGCGCGTGTGTGTGTGTGTGTGTGTGTGTGTGTGTGTGTGTGTGTGTGTGTGTGTGTGTGTGTGTGTGTGTGTGTGTGTGTTGTTCTTGGCCTAGTTGGCAAGTTTCTGTTCTGCTTACTTCTTTATGCGAGTGTTTTCTGTTGTGCCTGGCTGTGTGCGTTTGTGTTTCTGTTGACCCAGGTTGCTTTTATGTCCGCGTTTCTGTTATGTCTACCTGAGTCTATTCGCGTCGCTATCGCATTGAGCCAGGTGGCTTGTCTGTTTTTTGGCGGGCCTAGTTGCGCGAATAAGTGTGGGTTCTTGTTGGCCCTAGTTGTGTGTTTCTGTCACTCGTAAGTGTTCACGCCTGTGTTTGCCCAAGGTCTGCCTGCGTATGTGTCTGCGTTTCTGTTGGGCCAAGTCGAGCGTGTGTTTCGGTTGCATTAAACCAAGTCGCGTGTGTGCACTCCTCTGTCGCCAAATGTCGTATATGAATGTATTTTTTTGTGTGTTTCCTTGGGATGCAGCGCGTCCGTTTCCGTAGGGCCTAGCGGGGTGTGTACGTGTGAAATGGTAGGGCCTACATTCTTGCGCGTGTGTTTCTACAGGACCCAGTTGTGGTACACTTGTGCTAAGCCTAACTGCCCGTTTGTTTCTGCCTGCGCGCCCTCTATTGTCTTTCGCGTCTCTTTCGACTGCTTTGGCGCAAGTGTGGCTTAACGATGTCGCGCATGCGCGCTCGTGCTCACTGAAGCTGCACAATCGTCGCATGCAAACACACTCGCGCCTCGTAGCGGCTGAAAGGGTCACCGGCCCGACAGGCCCTTCCTGCCATAACGCTTTCACCTGCTCACAGTTCGGTCGTTACGTGGCCGTTTCCGGTTCGTCGCCCTGTGCCTTTTCGTTTGTATATTTGTTCTTTTTCACTTCCGACAGCTGCGTGTTCGTTTATGATCTGGGAAAAGATTCGGCATCGGTGTGAAACGAAAACAAAAGACGAAAAGTGTCGCCACCCGTGTTTCAGGGCGCTCTGGATCCCGGAACGTCAGTTTATGCGGTTTTCGTGATGTTCAGCAAAGATAGTGGACAGCACAAGCCTAATTAGAAGGCATGAGTGATTAGGTAACGAAGACAGAATGATTTCTTGTCTCGCATGTCCCCATAGTCACTGGTGGGAACTTGCCACTTCGCGAAGGTCGCTCGATCGAATCTCGCTGCAAATCGCTAGAGGCCCGGGTGCTTAAATTTAGGTGCATGATAAAAAAAAAACACCAGGTGGACGAAACTTCCCGAACCCTCCACCATTGTGTGCCTCATTGAGATATGGGCGTTTTATGGCGTAATCCCTTATTTCAAGTCAGTAAAGAACTCTTCCGAAATAAGCAATAGAAACTAGTTTGAAATTAGCCAAGCCCTATAGACTTCAAGAAACGGCGCAATGTTTTCTGCTTGGGTGATCCCTCGTTTTTTTTTATGTTCTGAAAGATAAACAATTTGCATTCGTACACTGCTGATGTAGGTTGCCTTAATATTTTCGTGTGTTTGTAATATATTGCAGTGAGTTAGTACCGCTTTGCCACGGTTAAAATAGCCAAGTTATGCATGCGCTGCTGGTTCATGTGTGCGAGGGTATAAACTCTCTTTAATAAACGTTTAACAGCGTCACTGCTTAGGCAGGCTATTTTAGTGTGTACAAGGGTGTACAAAAAGTTATTGTCAAAAAAAGTTATGTGCCACAAAAATTGAGCAAGTCTTGCTATACTCACCGGCGGTCCGCTAAATATTAAGATGGCAACCGACGGGTGCGACACCAAATTAATGTTTATACACAGAAGTAACCAGTAATTGAGAGAAGCTATAATAAGACGTTGTAATTACTCCAGTGACAAACACAGAGGCCGCACGTTTCAGCTTCTCTCAAGCACCTGTGCGGAGTGCTTCAGAGGCGCATACAACGAGAGAATATAGGAACGGGGAGGGCTTTGGCAGCTATACGAGAACACTCCGAGTTGATTTAAGCCCTACGCCAACGACGACGTGCGCGTTCACATCTATCGCATGTGTGAACGCTCGGTTTCGGCGCTATGGTTTCTGTTTCGGGAGTTCGCACATTCGTGTCGTGTATGTGACTGTATATAGTCTAGCCTACCTCTCATCTTGTCTTCTTATGTGCTGTCTTCCTTCTTCCGGGAAGAGTAAGCAGGTGTTGTGCCCCTCTAGGTAGCAGTCGCTGGCTTGCTTTTTTCCGCTCTTCTCTGTGTCGTTGGATATCTGTGGGTACAAATCGAATGAAAGGAATAAGTCAAACCTCCGGTGCTGGGAATAGACCCAGAAACAATTCATAGTGTTATTGAGCTAAAACGCATTGCAACAGCTTAGAAGCAACCTGATTTGCCTTCAGAATCGTCCAACTTCGCCGTTTCAAGCCTTACTCGACTTGATGCAAGCATCGCGATCTTTCTAGTTCTAAGGCCAGAGCTCGACCTCACTGGTTGCGACACTTTATTGCCGCTGCTCCTTCATAGATCGCTGGTTCCCCCTTCCAAGTGTACTGATCCAAATCACCCAGCTAAAACTGATGTAGCTGACCGCGCTTAAACCGAGCTCATCGACATACAGAAACGATCAGTGGCGTAGCCAGGGGACGGCACACGGGGCTCGAGCCATCTCCTCTCCCCCCCCCCCCCCGAAATGTTTTTCGCCGTGGCAAATGGAGCGAAAAATGGCCATTTCGAGGAGGTCCTTTTCTCCCTGGAATCAAGGAATTTTGCTTACGCCCCTGGTGACAAGCAACGGAGAAAACATGCGCCTCTGCGCGGCAAGGAGCGGCACGCTGTCTACACTTCCCAACGTAATTCTGGCATGACAGTCACGTGATAAAAGTAGAGGTCTCGAGGCGCGCGTTACTTCTGGCATGACAGTCACGTGATAAAGGTGGAGTTCTGGAGGCGCGCGCGACTTCTGGCATGACAGTCACGTGATAAAAGTAGAGGTCTCGAGGCACGCGCGACTTCTGGCATGACAGTCACGTGATAAAGATGGAGGTGCCGAGGCGCGCGTGATTTCTGGCATGACAGTCACGTGATAAAGGTGGGGGTCTCGAGGCGCGCGCGACTTCTGGCATGACAGTCACGTGATGATAGTGGAGGTCTCGAGGCGCGCGCGAATGTCCGCTCGAGGTTCTCGCGGACCAGAGGAGCTAGAGGTACGTGGGAGACAACTCACACTGTGAATGTCCATTGCTATGGACCACGCACGTGCAAGAAGAAAGGAGTAAAAAAACGTTGACACACACGTACACACTCTGTCGCGTTCCGTATCTTTATAACCTGCCTTCGATTCTCGATTCATGGCGTTGAGCTGAAGTGTGTCGCAAGGAAAGCCAAAGTACGAACATCCTTTTCTCCCTACCCGGCTGCCATCTTTAAGCCCAAACTCCATAAGCGCGAAAATGCACGCGACAGCGACGAGCGACGCTATGAGCGACGAAACAGGGCGTTCGCGCGACGTGTCGCGTGCTCGTTTTCGCGCGATCGCTTGGTTCTCCAGATTTGGAAACCATCGCTCATCGCCCGGAAGTGCTGGGCTCAGGCAGCCAATAGCGAAACACCGGAAAAGACGAAGACTACATAGGTGCACGTGACCCTGCCCGAGTCACGTATGCGCAACAAGAAATAACGCAGTGTTTATTACGCATGTGCACATAAAAAAGTGCTGCAAGGCATTCATAAACACTTTCCGTTCCATTACAGAACAACATATCTTATTTTTAATTTGCATACCGCTCGCTACGTGGTTTTCTTGGTGCGAGTAGACGGCCTCATGCCAGCAACAGTGGAATTCGCTCGCCGTAGCCGTCGCGTGAATGAGGTTTGCCTGCGCTAGCGACTGATCGCGCGACGCCGATTCACGTCGCGTCGCTCGTCGCTGTCGCGTGCATTTTCGCGCTTATGAGGTTTGGACTTTATTGCATCTACCTCAAACTGTCGCTCACGGTCGACGCTGTTTTTTTTTTTTTTTTGCTCACAACCGAAGACACCGACACTGGCAATTCATCTTTTAACGCTTTCGCGTTAAAAATGACAGCGAAAGGACGTTCTTAATTTTTCCTTCGGAAGACGTTCCCGGGAAGGCCAACGTACCACGCTTACTTATCGGTGTCTTGCATATCCATTTAGCGTGACCTTTTAGTACGCCACCTTATTACAACGCGATGCCTGTTTTGAAGCGCTTGTAGCAACACAGTGCTTTAGCCCGCTAAAGAGTGAGTGAGTGAGTGTGTGTGTGTGTGTGTGTGTGTGTGTGTGTGTGTGTGTGTGTGTGTGTGTGTGTGTGTGTGTGTGTTCTTTTGCTTGTGTTTGTGCTTTTGGGTGTGGTTGGACGACTCACCTTCGCTCAGGTTGTTTGTACGAGCTCCACGCCATAATTTCTTAACGCGCATGTATCTCCTCTCGTCTGTGGGATGGAAGCGCTGTATAATTAACATACCCCACGTCAGCGACTTCATTCAATGTGTGTGGGTACGGAGGACAGATCGTAGGCCGAGGTCATTACGTCGCGCGTTGGTGGCATTCTGTACTACTCGGAAGAGTTTAGGTTAGGTCTAGTTGATTGCACATAGCCATCAACTACAACAAAAATAATGTAACACAAGAAGCAACACTTACAACGGCGAGCAGGGGCGCGAAATTCATTCCGTGCTTAATGTTCTTGGATATTCTGAATGTAATTTGTACGAGTATTTTTCTTGAGTGTTCTTTGTCTCAGCATCAAGGTGCAGTGCAATCTATTTCAGTATTTTTAGCATTTATTTATGTACTCATTTATTCAATCTGTATTGGTCGTTTAATGCAATAATTGCACGTGTAAGCGCAGACGCGTCGAATGCAGGTCGTGCAATAACAGTTTTTTTTTCTCTGTCTTTTTCCCAGGACACACCGAGCACTTCAACTTCGAGAACACCGAGACTGACGTCACCAAAATTGCGCTCTCCTTCTACTCGGGGTTGTTCGCTTATAACGGCTGGTGAGTGGTCCGCTATCACTTATTTCGGCTGACGCTCGCCAGGGGCGCGCCTGTCTCGAACTGACGCTTCCCTTAAAACGCTGTGACGCCGTAAGCATACTTTTGAATAATCGCTGCCAGTCATTGGCAGCTTTGTTGGAGAAGACAGGAAAAACTCGTGAACCTTCCGTGCACATTCCTCTACCGTTGTGTAAAGACGTGACCACTTTGTTGTGTATCATATACACATTATATCTAGTGGCTAAGGTACTCGACTGCTGACCCACAGGTCGCGGGTTTGAATCCCGGCTGCGGCGGCTGCATTTCCGATGGAGGCGGAAATGTTGTAGGCCCGTGTACTCAGATTTGGGTGCACGTTAAAGAACCCCAGGTGGTCAAAATTTCCGGAGCCCTCCACTACGGCGTCTCTCATAATCATATGGTGGTTTTGGGACGTTAAACCCCACAAATCAATCAATATACACATTATATACACAGTGCTCATTTACGTGATAGCGTTAACGAGCTCGGTTCACAGAAATCGTTGGTTGTGAGCGAAAAAGCAGCCTTTTGCACGACCGAAAAACCCGAAAAGTCGAGAAAATTTCAAATGAAATAAATATTATTTTAAAACTTCTGGCTCTTAGTGGGGATAAACCTGGGTAGCTTGCGTACCAAGCGGATGACAGTCATGGAGGATTCCATACAGCCATGGAGGATTCCATACAGCCATGGAGGATTCAAAAGCAGAGTCTGCTTGCGAACACAGCGATAATAACTATCTCTGCTTGCAAATGCAGTGAAAGTAACTTGAATGTTTTACAAACACACGCGCCCTGTATACATGCGTCAAAATCTAACATGGAATATCGCAGTAAGAATGCGTGGTACAAGCGTATACATTGCCATGGGGCATCAGAACATGGGATCGTCATGGCTTCGTAGTTTAAAGCCAGTCACCCACTACAAAAAGCACACCACTACCACACACTCCGGACTGCGTGGTTGTGGATATGTGCACATGTGGTGCACGTTCTGGGCCTGCAGTGAAGAAGGTCGGGTACTCGTATGAAGCAGGCTTTCCGTGTGCACGTCATCTGTCGGTTAATTGGAGTACTTATACCGTGGGACTCGACGACCACAGCACCCTACAGACTGCGTGGCTTTGCCTATGTGCACGCGTTGTGGACGCGCTGGGCCTGCAGCGAAGAAGGTTAGGTACCCGTATGAAGCAAGCTTCCCGTGTGCACGCCATCTGTCGGTCGATTGGAGTACTTATACCGTGGGACTCGGCGACCACAGCACCCTCCAGACTGCCTGGTTGTGCATATGTGCGCGCGTCCTTAGCCTTCAGCGAAGAAGATAGGGTATTCTTACAAAGCAGGCTTCCCGTGTGCGCGTCCTCGGCCGGTCGGTCGGTCGGAGCTCATATACTGCGGGACTTTACCACCACAGACTGCGGGACTTTACAGACTGCGTGGTTGAGAATATGTGCATACGTAGTGCACGTACTGGGCCTGCAGCGATTGGTCGGTTGGTCAAAGAGGCCCTTTCGCAGATGGTAAAAACTTTATTACTCCCAAAGAGGTTACGCTATACTTAGAGAAGGTCGGCGGGGATCCCTTGGGACAGCGGCCTCCAATGCGCGTGAGATTACCAGGCGTTGCTGTGCCGAGTCAGTGATATGCAGAAGGGACTCTCATGTATCTTCTGCGTGAGAAGCGTAAATTCCGGCATCGGCGCTTGTGAGTGAACAATAATTATGTTAAGCGTGAGCTAAAGATTGAGAATGGTGCAAATAAAACTAATTATAAAAAAAATACTTGGTCAGAGTGGCGACCAAACGAAGGTCTGTGGGTCTGCGTCGGGTTGGAAGCCTGGTTATTTTAGTGGCAAGGGGATGTTCTACCACACACGTCTGCTTGCAAATACAGTGATAAGAACTTCCTCTGCTCTAAAATGCATTGAAAGTAGCTTTCACACTGTACAAACGCATGCACCTCTCATAGGTACTTCACAGTGTAACATGAAATACTGTCGTAATAACGCGTGGTACAAGTGCCTTTCGCCAGCGGGCGTCAGAACACGTGGTTATCATAATGGCTTCGTATCTTATAGCCGATCACCCGCTACAACAGGCACTAGCATACTGCGCCTATTCTCTTAAGGCCAGCCTCACCGCGGTGGTCTATTGGCTAAGGTACTCGTCTGCTGCTGACCTTAGGTGACGGCATCCAACCACGGCGGTGGCGGCTGCATTTTTGGTGGACGCGAAAATGCTGTAGGTCCGTGTGCTCCGATTAGGGTACACGTTAAACAACCCCAGGTGGTCAAAATTTCTGGAGTCCTCCACTATGGCGTCTCTTATAACGATATGGTGCTTTTGGGAAGTTAAACCCCACATATCAATAATCGATTTCTGAAAGCTACGTAGTGGATGCATAACTAGTTCTGTAGAATCGTGAATAACGTCATTGCAGTGATACCTCAATCCAATAATTCTGGGCACAGTTTCTGACCACATGCCGTCGTGAACGCATGCTTGGAGACTTTTTTTTGTTCTTGTTCAGGTGACCTATCTCTGATGCAACAGCCCTAGACTAGGCACTTAAGATGCTAGGATGGTCTGATTTGATGTTAGCTGACAATGGAAGAATGAGAGTGGCGTGGAGTGCATATGGCAGGCATTCTGAGATCATGATTCGTAATGTAGCTCTACCCCTCAAGAAGAAGACGTGGTACAGGTGCATCTTACTTGTAGTGCTTACGATGCAGAAATGCAGAGGCTTACGAAAAGCTTTCAACTTAGATTGGCAATGACGCAGGGAGTCGTTTGCGTTCCCGCCATATATATACTAACGTTGAGTGTTGTCCCGACTGCATGCGTGATGTGGCACCACCTAATAAACGCAGGAACCTCCCGTTGGCCATATTCATCTCGTGCATCCTGGTCATGGTTGTGTACACGTTCAGCATCGTTGCTTTCCACACCACACTGTCCGTGCAAGAAGTTCTCGGAGCGGAGGCCGTTGCTGTGGTACGTCTTAATCTCTTCAGATCTACATGCACACTCATCAGGTTATGCTACCGAGTTGGGGCGGCGGTAGAGGCACACTGTACCATTTGGTAATATACTTCGGGGATGTACGAGCACAAAGATATATATATATATATATATATATATATATATATATATATATATATATATATATATATATATATATATATAAGGGAAAGAAGTGTATACATAAGGGCTCGTTTTTCCGTGTTTTGACACAAAATAATGAGATCTAACAGACAGTAATGCCAAGGAATATACAGGGGAAGTTATTAGAACCAATGGAATGTAAATAAGAAGAAAGAAAAGTGGATGAAAAAATTACCAGCTGTGAGCAGGAATCGAACCTACGACCTTCGAATAACGCATTCGATGCTCTAACCACTGAGCTATCACAGCGGCCTTCCCTCCCCCCACTTTTTTGGGTTTATATGTGAATTTAGAAGTAGGAGTTATGCGCATGTGTGGCGCCACACATGCGCATAAAAGGGTGTTTCACACTCGCCGCTTGGCCTATAGACGGCGCTGACCAACACTCCTACTTCTAAATTCTTCTAAATTCACAGGCCAGAATGAAAGCCCGCAAACCATCGACTTTCGTTTTTCTGTAATGACAATTAAATTTTGACGAGATTTTTCTTGATGGGACGATCCCGTAATTAGATCAGAATCGCTCAATCACTCTCGTTTCCCGCAGACCTTCGCTGAAAAGCTTTACGGATACATGGCCTGGATTGTGCCTGTCTTTGTTGCCATGTCCACGTTTGGTGGCGTCAACGGAATCCTCTTCACATCATCACGGTAAGCATATTGCTTGAAGGCCCCACGGTAGTGTAGTACAATGCCTCTTGGCAGTGACATAGTGCTGACCCGAAGGTTGCTGTGTTGAATCTATAGTCTTGGAAGTCGCCTTCTGATGGAGGTGAAGTGCTCTAAGTGCGTGTACTTGTAGATATGCACCTCAAAGCGAACTACGGATTCACATCCGTGGTGCTCAACCTAAATCTTCAGGCGTATCGCGATTTGAGAGACCTATACGTAAGGAAACTTTTGTATTTGCTTCAGCAGCTTTGAAAAATCAAAACAAAATTTAAAACGATATACATATGCGTATTTTAGCCAGTACGTTTCAGAGTCAATAGCGCTGTGCAATGCTCTTTGCAGAAAATATTCCAAACGGGTGAAAGCGTATACGCCTGTGGGAAAACACTCTGTCCTCGTTGTTATTTGATGCGCAAAAGTACTAGTCGCGCGGCTATCCTCAAACATGCAAGGTACACAAACACAGCGCAGCAGCTTCCTCTATATGTTGCAGAAATGCACAGATTGGTGAGGCTTTCGCGCGTTTTTGCACCTGGCGCATCGTATCGGATGCGTCATAACGGCGCCGATATGTTTGCGGAACAGAACTACTGCAGCTCCTGCCTCTGCAGGTGACCTGGATATGTAACGCACTGAAGGTCGTATGCGTCTTTTCACTCGACAAAAAAAAAAAAATCGATGAGCGGACGCAGCGGCAATGAGCCGGCGCTTTCTGTGAGATTGAGACGTCAACGAAGCAGATGTAGCTTCGCCAGAGTCACTCCACTTTTGCTGGCTGGGCACGGTGGGCTGTATATACACAGTCAAAAAAAAAAAAAAACGACCACCGGGTCTTTTGATAGGATGTGTCGACACCAGATGTCGACGTTTTCCGTCAAAAGACGGCCCCCTGGTGGCCAAGACTGGGCCACTAATTTCTCGTCGAGCCCTCAATAATGTAATGAAGAATTCAGACAGTATGAAAAGGAAGCTGCTTATTGTGGGCCAAGTTATCGAGATCAAGAAGCTTTCATTGTCTTGTTCGAGCGGCCCTTCAATTTTTCTATTTTCCGGCTACACTAATAATGATATGCAATCCCGTGCGGTGAAGGTGCGCGTGGGCATGGCCTATTTTTTTTTTTATGCGGCAGCGCACCGTTGTTTGCTGTGAGGGTGCGCTTTTAATAAAGATTGCTACAAGGTACCAAGGCTTGCTTCAATATAGTTTATTACCTGCCTGCTTAGCGCCGTCAAGTGATTTGGAGTGAAACTGAAGTATCTGTGCCTATCCCGTGATAGACACATTCTTGCATGAAGGAAGAAATAAAGCAGCCTTGACAAACGATACTCTTTGTAACGCCATTTCCTCTACAGCAGACACGTGCCCAGTGGCGTAACTAGGGGGGGGCAAGGGGGTACAAGTGCCCCGGGCGCCACTAGGGAGGGGGCGCCAAGCCGAGTCCTCGGGTTGGCGCCCCCTGGAAAGGTTGTCAATGTTTTTTTCCGTAAAACCGCCTGGAAGGGGGGAGGGGCGAGGTTGTAATGTACGACTGGAAGTGGGGATGGTGGTGAAGGAAAGGGTTGCCGCAATGGCTTTTGCATCGGGAAAAGGATCCTCTATTTTCATTTTGCTGCGCTACCTCCGTGCCTTCCCATGACCCTCGGCTAAGCTTTGTTTTGTGCTCCGCAGCACTGGGTTAGATGAGTTTCAGCGAACCCCACCAGCCTCCCAAACCACTTACTGAAAGCTTCCCTGAAACCACCACGTACGTAAACAAAATAAAATAAAAAGTTCGAATGCACCTTTTTTGAGTAAGAACAGAAAACTCCAACGAAATAGCCGATCGTCCAACGACTAATCGTCCACGCAGCGGCGGAAGGAAGGGCGAATATAATCCGTGACCTCGGCACCAAAGGCTAAACAAAGGCGTTTATTCGCAGAGTTCTCTGGAGGAAAGACGGAGAAAGCGTGACACGACGGCGACGTTTGTTGATTCCCTGCATCGCGGGCGCCAGCAAAGCAATAGAAGGGCGGGGGTCAACGTTTCCCACATGCCATCCACCGCCATGGGCAGGTTCATCCTTTGGCCCAAAGAACACGCACCTGCGAAAAAAGCGCAGAGCGTAGTGTACCCGACAGCATGTGCCGACTGCCCCGCTTCGTACGTTGGAGAAACCAAGAACTTCCCTGAAAGAATGCGGCCGCACAAGGATGACCTCCATCAATGGAACAGCGAACGGAGCGAAACGGCAGAACACCTCCGACCAGTTTAACCCCCATACCAGACCCGAGGGCGCGGTGTCTAGCTGGTTGCTTTGTTTTGTACTCACCCTGCATTCCTTGGGATGCACAAATAGCGCGAAAGCTTAGGTACGAGAAACTTGGGCCTGGGAAGCGCCCGTGCCGTCAAGATTTTTGCAGTGTGGACTGGAAGAGAACAATGACGGGTAAGGGACTTCCGGAAGTTTGAATAAAAAAGAAAAATACTATACAAAAACGCGGGCGTAGCTCATCGAAATCAGAACTGGTGGCCCTTGGCCTCCGAAATGGCCCGCCGCGCGCCAGTAGGCAATCGCGGAAGCCTACATTAGCGCTTTTAATGGGGGGGGGGGGGGCTGTAGTAATAATTATTATTAATAATAATATTATTATTATTAATAATAATAATATTATTATTAATAGGAGCTGTAGTAATAATTATTATTAATAATAATATTATTATTATTAATAATAATAATAATAATATTATTATTATTATTAATAATAATAATAATAATAACAAACATTATCACGGGCATAATGAGGGGCGCGGAAATATATTTGCCCTGGGCGCCGTCCTATCTAGTTACGCCACTGCACGTGCCGTCACCCATAACTTTCGTCCACCGTACGTCAGCTTTGCGCAACACTACACACTACAAATAGAAGGACTACGCTTCCAACTGAAGAGAATGCCCCTTTCCCGGAGGAAGAGATTCGTGGCTAATGCCTCTGGCGATTATTGAAATCGAAGGTGCTTGTAAAAACCACGTGGCAGAGACACCGTGCCTGCCGACGCGGTGTAGTTGGCATAAAAGACCGCGACACGAACTTGCTCGCTTCGAATGCGTGGTCATCGTGTGCAGAGACGGCGAGAAGCGGGTCCGCGAAGCTACCATTGTCTTTTACTGAAATAAAAAAAATAAGCGAAGGAGTTAATGTCACTTTACGTAACTTGGTGACAGCTAACCATTTCCACTAGATTGTTACAAAAGAAAGAATTAAAAACAACATAGCATATATACTCAGTTTTCTGAGTATATATGCTATAATATATACTCAAACACCATATATAACAACTCAGCATATATACTCATAGCAATGTCATACTCAGTTTTCTGAATAAGGCAAATCTGGAGGTGTCACGGACTGCGGAGGGACAAGGGCTTTTGTCAGGCTGTTCGCCTTTAACCCTTTGCCCCTGCAGTGAGCTCTGTATCCGGCTTACTGTAAATAAAAGTACTACTACTACTACTACTACTACTACTACTACTACTACTACTACTACTACTACTACTACTACTACTACTACTACTACTACTACTACTACATATGTACACCCCTACTTAGGTGAGTCCACAAGTTCTCATTAGGACAGAACACTAATTTGGGTAGAACACGGTCACTTTTAACTAGACCCGCTCGCAGGTCTTCGTGCCTTCTAAAAAAAACATTTCAGCCACTTCATTGTTTTGTGATTTATTCTAGATGGCCATAGGCCTAGTATTTTCTCCAACGTAAACGTTTGTTTAGAATCTAGCGCATGGAGTTCCTGTTCGAGTCGCTGTCTGTGTGCGTCGTGTTTACGACAGCTCAGCAAAGCTATATACCATCGTTTTCGCCATGAAGGAAGGAAAAATTGAACTCCGTGCTTTTCGCACTTTGGAATCGCCCGCCATCTGGTGGACAGATGCTGAAGCGCCTTTCATTGATTCGATAGTGAGGCGGGAAAGAACAGTTACGGTCGAGTCGTGCACTCACGTTGACTCACACCCATGCAAACGTGGTCGATAAGAAAGGGAGGAAGTGCGGTTTCAATAGGTGAGGGATACGAGGAACTTACAGATGCACGTCATACTCAGTTTTCTGAATAGGGCAAATCCGGAGGTGTTGGCCTTCGACGCGCATTTAAATGAAGGTGAAACGTGAAAATTGTTTTCTTCCTCGTTGCGACTACTGCTAGATCCGGCGGGTTGCGCCAGGGTTTCGGTGTATTGTTATTGGAGAAAGGAGGGAGGATGAGAGGACATCTACGACAAGTCGGCTTCTTCGGGTGGTGCAGAGAGAAAGAGGTACTTAGGATGTGTATGATTAGAGTTCGGGCGTCCGGAAAGGGAATTCAACGCTCATCTTTGCCATTCTTTCTTGCCTTTATTTCTTGTCTGACCTCTGCGCAAGCTTATGCAGTGTGTTACGACTATGTCTGCTCTTGGAGGCAACGGAGGGCTGCCAGGCGAAAATATGGTTTGACCAGGTCTCTGTATCTGTCCTGTGTGTTAGCCACGGCGTTAACATTCAAAGCGATTGTACTGTTGAGTGGTCTTCGAGCGTCAAAAGGATGCGGTCCCCGCACCCTCCGGCTTCCGACATAATGCAAGTGAACTGCTACCACACAAACAACTCTCTCCTGTTCGTTGTTTTCTTTTCAGTCTCTTCTACGCCGGTGCCGAACATGGTCAGATGCCCAGACTTCTGTGCATGATCTCGATAAACCGCCTGACACCGTCACCCGCTGTTCTTGCTATGGTGAGTAACCACTCCCACGTGCAAGCCCTTAGCCTGCACGCTATAGTTATACATATTCGCGGAATTGAAAAACCATAGATAAACATCGCTTCATGAGCAAAATATTGCTAGAGATTGTCGAGCCACATTCGTTCACTGATTTTATTTGTTTTTGTAACAATTACACTTTTTTATTGGGAAGGGGGCAGAATAAAACATCGATTTGAAGGGATTCTAATTGGTCCTGCATGCTTCTGACAATGAGAGCAACAGCTAAACAGCGTCACTGTTGCAGGACAAAAAGGTGGACAATATTATAGAGAACGTTAAAGAACAAAGTACCCTATCTGATGTACTTACGGGGAAAATAAGAATGAACGCAAGGATATAAGTTACAGATACATTATTACAGTGTATTAATCCTTCTCTTGCAAGAAATTAATTTTTAGATGATAGATTACTTGAACTTGCGCAGCTAGCTGCTATCTTATTTGATAAATCGAATAAGTTGCCTAGCTGACTCGATATCCTTTTGCTCTCAACGTTCGCAGTGCCTGCTGTCGCTGGTGTACCTGTGCAGCAGCGACATCTTCGCGCTGATCAATTACGTGGGATTCGCCACGTGGCTCGCCATCGGGCTCGCTGTGGCCACGCTTCCGTACTTCCGCTGGAAGGCCCCGAACCTCAAGAGGCCCATCAAGGTGCGTACGGGGCTGTACGTCCTGCAACCGGTGTGCATGTTCTCTAACTCGATCGGCAGCTGCTTCTGTAACTCGCTGGTTACAGAAGTTCGGGTGAAGGATGGGGGCTCGAAGTATTTCGAAATCCAAGAATGTCCGAATAGCTGAGTGAGTTCATGATTCTAGAACTTTTATTGAGACTCGCCAAATATATAGAATTACGCGCGGATGCTTCCACACCTATACAGGGGCGTGTGTTCTCATGATACGCTGACACCAGTCCAGTGATGGATTGGCGTCAGTGTATTATGAGAATGCCACCCCCATAGATGGTGAAGCGTCTGCGAAATTTTGTTATATCTTTGACGAGTCGGAGTGAATGTTTTAGAATCGTATTTCGAAATCTTTCAACAGGAAATATCGACAACACCAGCGTTTAGACAACAGCTTGTGAAGATGACTCGTTATAATGAAGAGCTTATAAGATGACTTATCTTCATAAGTCATAAGATGATATGATGACATACGCCGATGAGTCATCATGTCGAATCGCTAGGCTACATGTACGACCACTGTTCAACTATTTATAAGATTGCACAAGTTCAGGCGCATGTTGGTTATAACTTCCGAATTTTGGAAGCAAGAAGGTGGGACAGTGAAAGTGAAACCGCGATAGGTGAAAAAGATGAGGAACACCCGTTCTACGAAGAAATGCATACTGCTTTTCTAAAACTTACAGTCATTGTTCTTCGACTGCTTGATGAATTTCCTCTCTGCACTCCGCATGGTTAGTTCTGGTAGTTGTGGAATCGTTGAGAAAAGCGTTAATCCAGGGCTGTGGTGACGGACTGTGATGAAATTTACCAGAACTTAGGAAAGTCTTGCTTTCCGAGAAACACTCTGGCGACGTGGCGGCTCTGTCTCAGAAACGACTGTTTGTCAAACTGCTTAGAGCTTACAATTAGTGCTTCAAAGCTTGCTGTCTTAACTGCTGTGCTTGTTTTTCCATAAAAGCTCAACATCACTATTTTGGCTGATGGAGCAGTTTGCCTTTGTCTGACTGTAAGCTGCATAGTAGCAATTGGGACACAAGAACAACAATACTAATGCAGTAACACAGAACAAACACGGATCACACATTCTCTGTTAGTTTTTTCACGCACTTGTGCTATCTCCACAGGTTGTAATAAGGCCATACCAACTAACCTCTGCCAAAGCACTTCCGAATGCTTTTATTGTCTCGGCTGGTGGTTTTGTGGTCGCCGCCGCTGCCACGTGTATATAGAGGGAGAATGCGCTAGCCTCCTCTTTCTGTGGAGCGAACATCGCCTTTCCGACCGGGCTCGTCTTCGCGCGCGCTTATCTCGCCAGCGAACAAGGGGAAAGAGGGCGCTCATAGTTGCCGCGCTATCGCGGAACGATCATCGTGCGCCTTGTGTCCCCACAGCAGGCGGAAGCTTCTACAGGCTGCGCTCTTCACAAGGAAAAGAAAAACTGTGCCAAAAGTCTACCTGGAGCGGCAGTGTTTTCTTGCACCGACGTTTTGTTGAGTTACGTGAGATCGGGTCTGAATGAGTTGACTGCAAGGTTCACTTCTTATATCAACGCCGTCAATACGCACGAGCCTTATTGTGGTCATCTACTGTGGCCGCGCCGCAGGAAGCTTGGTTACTTAGCAAGCGCATGCTTACTACAGCTATTATTGCTCCTAAAAATGCTAGCCTTGCTTCGTAAAACGTCCGAATATGTTGCTATCACATTCCAAAACATTCGAATATGTTGCTATCGCATTCATTGCATGCCCCCTTTTGGCGAAACTGTGACTTATTTTTTATTCTTTCTTGATCGCAGGTTAACCTCATCTGGCCCATAATCTATCTGATCGCCACCGTCTTCATCACGATTGTACCCATGATTGCGGAACCCGTGCAAACTGGTGAGTTTCGCAAACTGCTCCGACCGTTTTGTTCCGCAATCATTTGTGAGAACCTTTATCGCGCGAACAATGAACAACGTGCGGACGTATCACCTGAGCATTGAAGCTGGAACAGTCATACGCTGGTGAACGAAACCTCTAATGCACGAGTTGAAGTGTGGCCAAACTGTGATTCGCCTGTTTTCGTCGAACCTCGTTTTCAGCTCTCGTGTTTGTCATCAGAATGTAGTCCAGTCACCGAAATCCGCAAGTTTGCTTGGATGAAACACTTCCGAAAGTTAATTGATTGTTTAGTGTCTTCCTTTGTCGGGAACCCACCTAGCAGAGAGCAGCAGTAAAAAATTCAGAACTGAAAATTTGTAAACTGCTGTCTCTAGATCGACATCTTTATTAAATATATTGTCAAGGGGTCGTGACGTGGCTGAAGGCAGGAGACTGGACAGTCATATCAAACTGATGATTTGGCGCGAGCCTTTGCCCGGTAAACAGAAAGTCGGGTTACAGTAGCACACTTGCACTGATATCGGCGAATGCAGCGTCAGCCGTCGATCAACTGACAAGCAGCGAAGCGTGTCGGCATTTATACAGGTGCCATCGAACATTCTAGCGTTATCGCTAGCGGCGACGTTGTTTGAAAAATAATCTGAAAGATTCACGAAGTGGGCGTAATCTTAACGAAACGATCTACAACAGCCTCGAGGCTTCTCTAACACCGTAGGCGTGGTTTGCGCTGAACATAGTGTAACATGGCGATAACAAAACTTGAAGAAAGGAACGTGGCAATGTCGTTCCTGTCTTCAATACGTGCGAACAATTATATGAGTCCAAATTTCACCACAGGCTTCGGAGCCCTGATCATCGCCACTGGAGCACCCGTATACTTCATCTTTGTCTACTGGAAAAACAAGCCACGGTGGATCCAAGGACCATTCGGTACGAGTCATTTTTGTCATTCGTTTGTGTGATGAGGACTGCCTTCTTATAATGTTTGTTGTCGCCGTCAACAGGGCGCTGCAAGAATTTTTTTCTCGGGGAGGCGGGAGGGGAATGGGTTCCACCAATTTTCATGTGTTTTCGTACACCTGTTTGTATGCGCCATTGCATATATGCAAAATTCAATATTTTCAATTGGACCCTCTCCCAACCGCACTACCTAGTTAAGCCAGTGGTAGCCAACTTCTAAAAAGTCATCTGTATTGCATCACTCACATTGTGAAACAAAATTTCATCGCATTTCTGATGCTTATGCGACTTCACTTCTACATGAGCGTACTGAATTTTATGTTGCCACAACTGAAACTCAGTCCAGAAAAAAAAAACGTATTGTTTGCACGTGCGTCGCGGCTATTTAACATACTAGAATGAGAAGGCTGCTTGTACCAGCTAGAATACGCATACAATGCATAAGAAATAAGCAGCTGCTGGAATATGTTCCATGAAATACGACAATCCAGGGCAGGACGGAAGTTATAAGTACATGTCATTGAACGAGGAATGTTACTGGATCCAACGTTTCTAGAAATGCGACTATTTCTCCCAGCGGTGCCCCTTTACGTATGCCTACAGCTCTATCTCCCGTGCACTAAATAAAGAATCGGAAGTATGAGCTTCTCGAAATGATGGTTCTCTAGCAAGAGTCGTTGTTCCCTACCTCTCATCACTCTGGCATGACAAAATGTTTAGCTTTGATTTAGTTATCTCGTTGGCGCCTTGTTGTGGCCACCGTGGGCTTCATTTAGGCCGACTGTCGAACCATGACGTGCCTTTCTTTCCTACATGAGCATACACTCACCACATAGAGAAATATACAATATAAAGAGTGGCCACTGGAGCCTTTTCGTGGCCCACCAAGAGAATGTCTGACCAACCGCTAGATAACGTACCCATTCTCGCTTTTGCTCCTTTTTTTAAGACATGTAGTAGCCTCTTCAGGAGGACAATAAATACCCAAGTTTGGCATCAGTTTTTTTGCAAAGAAGAAATTTCATTAAGTTGTGCAATTTTCTGTATCCGCTCAACATCCTATCCCGCTGAGGACATTTAATGCTTTACAGCAGAAAACAGTAAAATATGACTAGGAAGTGTTGTCTTTCTGCATTTGTGTTTTCACAGAGGCACATTCATGTGGTTTAGAAGTGTTATACATGTATTCTCTTTGCGGAAGCATGGGTGTGTAGCCTAGTGTAATAAAGAAAAAAAAAGGGTGTGTAGCCTAGTGGTAAAGACACTCACCTTCGGTGCATGAGGGTTTGTGTTCAAATCCCAACCTGGGAAAGCAGAAAATTTCGCTATTTTATTTATGCTGAAGACATTATCGGGTCTGACCAACCACTGGTGGCGCTGAAAGCAACCAAGTAGCTGGGCCGCAGGGCCCTACGGGAGTGTCCGCTTTTTATGTTAGTATGTTTCTCTATGCTCACCAGGGAACTAGATGCTGCACTGAGGAATTGGTACTGCAGTTAGCTAGCGTTTAGGGATAGATGTAATGTCTTGCCATTACTGCTTACGTTGCTCGCATGACGTCACACTAACTCAGCCTCTCGCTCTTTCTTTTCCGGTTCGGCTTGCAGACAGCGCCACGTTATTTTTACAAAAGATGCTCGTAGTGGTGGCCTCCGAAAAGCCCAAGGACGTCTAGGCGCACCTGGGGCCATGTTCTTCAAGGAGGAGCACCTCATCAACCACCCATCTGCATCCCACCTTCAAGGGTGCTCAAATGTCGTCTTTGTCATCATCGTAAAGAAAACACTGTGACCAGAGGGAAACCACTGGATACTTACGCTCGTTCTTGACTTTGTCACAAATGAAAAAAAAAACTCTAACAAAGAATCAAAAAGACGGAAACCATCTGCAGACGAGTCAAATGCAAAAGGGCGAATAGCGTGAATCGAAACAAACATAAAATTATTGGAATAAGAAACACTGTAGCACCGTTAGCGTTGTTGAGAACTGTGAGACGAAATGCCTCGTTGTAACAGATTCCTGGTTCTTCACTGAACTTCTTTTCCTGAATGTTATGGTTTGAACATGGAGAAATACGAGGTATAGTGAACACACGACACGCGTATTAGTATTTACCGTACATTGCGTTCTTCTGCCGTAATGTCTACAAACTAAATACACTAAGATCGTTTGTGCATTACGTTTCGTTCCTGCAGTTGCTATAGGGTGTGTTGTATAATTTCATTTACGAAAATGTCAAGTAAGTTCGTTTTATGAATGCGCAGCTCATACAAGCATGCATATATTCTTCCTTTTGCTTTCTATGGACTCTGCATATATTTTTCCGTTAGCCTAGCTTAGATTTTGAAAGTCTCGTGGTGTAATAGTGGCGAAAGAAGTTAATTTATTATCCACTCTATGACGCTGTCCATCGGCGACGAACTATAGTCATGCGTTGAGAAGAGAACGAGTGAATGTTTCTCTTCTGTGATCTGGCTGGGTGAGGCAAAACTTGAGGTGGATAAGGCTTTGCAGGTTTCCACACGTCATAGAGCTACGACTCGCAGTCTCATAAGCTTGTGTTCACGTATTCATATACCAAAGTCCGGAAGGCTTGTTGCAGTTACGAATGATCTTGACTTGACACTGTTCATTCCTGAACTTTAATGTTGTCATCTGTATTCTGCACGTAAGTCACACACGTAAATGTTGAGATACAGTCCCACATGATTGAAACGGTCACTTGAGGTAGACTGCATGACACAGCTGCGCACCTCTGTAATGGACAGTCATGGGCATTTCAGGTAGGAATGGGTTACAGGGTTTATTGAAGAGCATTCTTTGGCTCTTGTTCTCTGCAGTGCACGCAAATTCAGCGTGCCATATTTGGCAACCGTGCAATTAAAGGACATAGTTGGTGCTCTAGAATTTTCAGTTGTGAAACGTGTCACATTTTGTAATTTATTGTTCACGTTTGTACAACTGTACTTCTAAAGAAAATGCATGCTGGTCTACCGAATTTACCGCTCCTTTAGAAAACAGGGATCTACTACAACGAGGCAGGCCGTACAAGTATATATATACACTGTGTATGAGTGTGTGCGTGTGTAGGTAGAAACGTGTGTACATACAAGCCGGTATGCTCGTGAAACATATATATGCACGTATATATTTTTGTAATTAAGACATTAAGTTTGCAGAAAAAAAAGATACTTTGAGGAGATGTTCCGAATGTCTTTCAGTACCAATGCTTCCATGAACACGCGTAGGAACAAAATAAAGATGAATGGTATCTCTTAGGACGTCGGAGGATAGCTCTTTCAAATGCCTGGCACATATCGAATATTTGTGGAGAGTGTCTTGGTTATTTTTGCCATAACGCATGATCTGTTCAGACCCGTGTTATAGATATATTCGTGATGAACTCGCTATGGCAATTGGTAGCTCTGTAATTTGTTTGACGCTACTCACCTTGTCAAAAAAGTTAGGGCGTTGAGCTTTCATGCTTAAGCAAACTTTCACAGCGACGAGTTGGTTAATCTGTGCTGGATAAATGTGAAGTTGCTGGTTGATTGGTTGGTGGATAATGAAGTGATTATTGCATTGTACAGGATCATTGCATTAGTAACCAATCCTTGGCTAGTAGCAAATCCTAAGACTAAATCTGAGCTTCATAATGGTTTGTAATATTGGAAGAGTCTCCTTAATTTTTTTATGTGAGCTCCGATGTTAAGTTGCACAGCCTAATCAGTCGTCATCTGTTACGTACCTTGTAAAATACGTTAACTTTGCGTATGCATCACAGAGTCGAAGGTCCGTGTTGCAACATGACGTCACAGCTACGTGACGTCACAAAACTTGACCTCACGACTACCATTTTCTTTCTCAAGGCTGATCTTTGTTCGGTATCTGTCATTTCCGCAGAAAGCGTGAATGTTAAGTGCATGGTTTTCTTATTTTTGTTATCACACATATCACATTGCATTTACAGAAGCAGTCGCAATTGCCTTGGAACAAGCCAGGCGTGCCCACCGAAAAAAACCATACTTGGTCGGTAGTCTTGAGATAATTCACAATTGATCTGTGCGTCACCTTTTATGAGGTGGAAGTTTATCTAGTATCAAATTCATGTGCGTTCCACGGGCCTCCGATGACATGTAGGGCAGCACCGTCATGCTTTTCTTGACAATTCTGACTGATGCCGAGTGTACTGTTTCAATTTCAATGTACGGCTTTGTTTTTTGTTTCATGAACGATGCAATACGTACGATCAAAAGGACGATTTTCTAAGTATTTATATTGTTTTTGATAAAATAATCTAGTTAGAGTAGAAATGGAATGCATTTCTGCACACAAAAGACCATCAACGCAAACCCTACTGTTATATATTACGTAAACAATCGATGTTTACAATTCAATTCTGATATAGTTAGATGATCTAATGGCCTAGCTAATTTATCTGTGCTACACTCTTTAACTAGACGATTCACCGAGAGGAAATGGAACCAAAGAGTGTGTTGGTTATCAGGAAATGGAAGATTGTAATTTTTAATGGTTATATTATAGATGATTGTTTAGGCACACATAAAACAAGGGGTGGGATGTCGTTGACGAAGTTCCTTAGAGCAGCACAAAAATGTAATATGCAATGTTTTTTGTCTTGTGACTGTCATTACATTTCTATGAAAACATCAAGAAATGTTTTACGACATTAAATTAGATGACGCGAATAATGCTTAGAGCCCCCACTGAACTTATCTTTTATTACTAAGTAGGTCTCGCTTCCACCGAATTTCATCAAATGGGGCTCAAAGGCAAGGTCAAAGAGCAGCGATTTCTTTTCGATGTTGCCATCCATAACTTCCTGTTTCGAAGCATATGTATAGATATTTTCTCATAATATAAATATCTTTAATATATACGACAACATAATTCAATGCAATACTGTTACAGTGGAAACATCAAAGAATTTTCACTGTTTTTTGTCACCGATATACATGATTAACCACTTGCCAAAACTTGTGTCGAGTGTTTCGTGAGGTCCTCTGCCGCGTTATTATTTCAAGATTGAGGGTTTCATCGGTGTTGGCAGCTACGCAGAAAGATTTTCGGACTCACCATGCAAAGCGGCATTGAATGCACCACATGCACAGAATGCTCATGTGCGAGAAACTTGGTGACGTAGTATGGACGTCTAGGGTTGAATGCAAGATGACAGTGCTGTTTTTATCAGTTTACAGTGTACACGACTGTGCTCGGTGACCGTTGGCTACAAAGTGGCCGTTTTATTTTGCTTTATTTTTATGTTCGGAAAATCCTCCATTTATGTTGTGTAATTGTAGGAATCGTCATGATTTCATCGCGCGTGCGCAGCTTCCAAGCTACATGAGTAACTCTCAGAAGAAAAAGTGTGAAGATATCAGTAAGTGATGACGCTATTGATCTTGACAAAAAAATAGGCATTAAAATCTTTTTTATATATAGCTGTGTTTCCTTTGTTCTTTGATTTGCCACTTTATAACCTTGGTTGCGGTCAGAGTACTTTTTTTGTATCTATAAACACCAGGTACACAATACTTAGATGTCTGTGAAAGCAAACGTGCAGATAGCTGAACATTACACGATCTTTATGGTTATATTTTGGATCCAATATTTTTTATTAATTGATTGAAATAGATAGATTACAACGAGAGTTGAAATCGATCCAATGCTGCCAGAAGATGATATAGGGTACATGAAAGCCAGCGAATTGGCCCTCGATTAGATCACAACAGCAGCTGAACACTCTCGATGTGCTATGACTTTTTATGGGGACCTTCAAGCCTGTGACATTGAATTTTATATGGTAGACGATTGAGCTTGTTCGTATGGATCCCTAATGAGACGTCATCATTAGGAAATGATATCGGGAAAATTGACGAGACAGGATTAAATTTAGGATACCATTCTTTCTTGTACTTTTTTTCCGTATCATCATTTCAGTGAGCTTAAGCATTATAATGGCACTTGAGTCGGTAGTCGGAAAATAGCCGAGGCTAAGCACAATTTGTATTAACTGAAAAAAAGAAAGCTATGATCTCGTTACACAATGTTTAGTCATTGAAAAAGGCAGGACTCATGGGTAGGTTGCAGCTTTTTTTTTTTTTTTGAAGTTTCGATGTTGGTTTCATAGTGGACTTGAAACTCGCTCGGGGCGCCAGAACTTTACACGTGGTTCAGATGGGTGTCGCGTTGTATTGACTGATGAAGTAAGACACTGAGAAACAAAACCTGAATGCATTCATATTGGCCGTACTTGTTCAAGAAGGAAGTTGGTTGAAGAAAAAAAAACGTAGAGCGAAATAACATATGCTCATTTTTTTCCCTCTGGGAAAGTATAAGTCATGCATCCATTCACGAAGGGTAGACTAAAATGACCAGCTTTTTTTACACCAGCTTTCACACTTCGTTTTCTGAACTTCAGCAGAAAGCCTAATGTACGCATAAAGCATAATTCGTAAAGAAGAAGACGTGAACATCTTGTCGAAAAAGCGCTCAGAATGACGTAAGTTTGTTCCACCAGATTCGTGACGTAGCAGATTCGTTTCTAACCTCGCGTCTCATTACCTCACACTTCGCGATTTCCTGTCACTGCTTTCAAAAAACAGCTGCTCAATGCGCGGGAAACTGACTGCTATGAACCACAAACGCATGACCAGCAGTGAACAACTAGTATGCTTAGGAACATTCTGTTCAGAAAAATCTTTGATCGTGGCTGCACACCTTTTGCACGTGCATTTTTGAGCCATTCTCGTGACTTTACGCTAATGCACGTAGGCCTTTGTCAATGCAACAATGTCAACATGTCTTTCACAAAACTAGTTCTTCCAGCAAATGATGCGGCTTGCTTCGGGCTCTCTATTTTTTGGCGCAACTTTTTTTTAAGCCAACAAAATGCCTATTCGCCTTATAGCAGGTCGCTTGTCCGTGGTATTTAGCTGTTGAACATTAGGAACACCATAATATAGGAACTATACAACCCACATACAGCCTTTTTCAGCTAGAAAGCCCAGGCATACGTTACTTAGGTACCGAAAAAATGTTTTGCTTATGAGAGGGTGTTGAGGCGCAGATGATGATGAAAAATTTTCAGCTTTGTGTAATGTAATTATCCAGGTGCAGAGACTGTGATTGAAAAACGTAGTCGCTCTAAGCTTGCTATTGTTATCTGTTGCTATTATTATTGCTATTGAACTGACCGCGCTGGGCGACCGTGAATTTTGGCCTCCGTGATTAGCTGAGGCAGCGCGCTGCCGCAGCAAATCACAGATGCCTCGTATAAACCTGCTTGAATCGTCGAGCCCTCAACATGTGAGGCTGGCGCTTTCCTTCATTAAATTTTGGCGAGTTGTGCTGCTGTCGAGAGAGCGTTCATACTAAGCATCGAACGCCTATTGTGCTATACAGTAGACCACAACAGACTCGCTGTCTATTGAATCCGTTCACCTTCTTAAGTTGTGCCTTATGCAGGAGTAAAAGAAGCTTTGTTGTAATTGTTAATCTCCGTTCGCTGAAGCGCCGTCTGGTGCTTAGAAATAGTCGTATACTTGTGACGATTAGGTAGTTGTAGAACCAATGTGTGGCTTGTCAATGTGTCGTGTTGTACGCAGTAACGAAGGAATGGTGCTTAGATGTGTGCAGGGAGGGCTGGACGGAATTGTGTTCGCACCAGAGTGCTGTAATGCGAGATGTCACGGTAAGAGTTCAAAAAGTAGCGTTCTAAATCTCACCGGGGTATATCTCTTTTCTAACTTTAGATCACCCAGCATTTAGGTCATGAGTGGTGTCGATTCGGTGAGGACACAAATCGTGCTCCTGTAATGACCGTGACCTAGTGCAACACCACTAACATCTTTGTGAGCTTATTTTCAACATTCTTATTTACTGCAGTAACCGTTGCGCTTGTGATATGTTAAGCAATTAAGCCTCTTTCCTCGGACAAGCTGTCCGACGGCAGAGCTGCGATTTCAAGGTATCTTCTAAACTTTCTCTCATTGAGTCAACTTCACTAGTGTGAGTGTCATATTTCCTGTAAAAGCTAAACTCGTACAAAATTCTAGCGCTTATCTCTTTCAGTTATGATTAATTGCTTGAGTTATGACTAAATGTGTAGGTTTACATCGAAAACTGTCATTAACTGAAAAAACTAATTTCTGCGTAACTGATTTGTCATGTTTTACTGACATGCCATGTATAAAACAAGGCAATGCCCTTATTTATAGACGTCGAGTAGCAAAAAGCACTTTCGTGGATGGATCAGTGCTCGTGTAAGATTCTTCTTGAAGAACATGCAACTTCAGATTCCGTCTAATCCTGCATGGCACATTCTGTACAGCCAGATACGCGTGCGTGTGCTTCTCTTCAAAAATTTCTCGATGTTCGCGTGATGTCATCAACGTTTTCTGTTTGTAATCTCCGTGTGTGATGTACGTTCGAGGCGAGGCTTAGTGGCTAGTGTCTCCCGAAATGTGTATGCGGCCATCTTTGAGAATGTTGGTGGGTTACGTGTTCCCTTTCCCTGGTGTTTCCTTTCCCTGGTGTTCCCTTTCCCGTTGTGTCCGTGTCGACAAAGTAGCACTGAGCATTCGCTGCGACTCACGCCTTCGGGTGGCTGCTGGAGTCCCTCCTGTCTTTTTACCACTATTTTCTCTTTACCACACCAATATCTATATTTCCCATTCCCCGAGCAGATCGGTTGCAGTGACCATGTTAAGAAAAGACAGTTACAGACCGGCACTTTTCTCTCCGTTTCTTCTTTTAGATCTGGCCATATGTTTTTAAATAACGTTCACACGATAATGAAGAACAGTCAGACGTATCACTAGCTTCGTTTGTGAACATCTCTAACCCTGGCAATTACATCGGAGGTAGTCCTGCCTGGTACCTTTGAGCAGTGTTAAATCCGTGTGTATAATTGCCTTGCGAAACTTGCATTCGCCGCATTTCCGCGGGGTCCGTCAGTGTTACAAGGTGTTTGGGACAAGGACGAAAGACCGCGTTATCAATACTGTAACGTGGAGCATGAAACATGTGAAAACAGAAGAACTTGTACCCATTCATCATGGGCTATTCATAACACATTCACCGAAAACGAAACTACATAAAGTTATTAGCGGGAACACGTGATTAGTGTATCACAGAGTTAATTGGGCAAAGCCGCACATTAGCGTGCGAAGGGTTCACCTTAAAGTGAGGAGAGGTGTGAAAGTTCGTCGTAGAGCCCACCCCCCTTCCTATTAAGTCATTGTATAAAGCAGACTTCGCGTTATTCCCCTGTCTTGGTTGTCTAAAGAGGGGGTTAGGTTGCACCCTCTTTCCCCCTCCTGAGCGCACGCCTATGAAGCCGCATGTCATGCGCTTCCGACTTGATATGACTGAATGCTTTGTAAAAAAAAAAACAACGGTTGAGAAAAGTTTCAAGGAATATCAAGAACGTACAGTAGCTACTCACGCCGTTCCCTCAATCCCAGAAACTGTAATGCTCCACTGTTTGTCTTATCCGTCTTACCAGCATTGACTGGTCGTGGCGATCTTGATTTGTAAGCAGGTCCTCCAGATGGTCTTTGGTTGGCGAGAGCTATGGAGGAGTTCCAGATCGCTTCTTGCATTTCCATACCGTGCGGCTGAGCAAGACGAAATTTCTTTTCCTGCTAACGGAGTCTCTATTAATGATATCTAAAACACTGAGACTGAAGAAGGCGATGTATATAACGCAGCACGTTCCACGTTAAGTGAGTCTGTGTGCAGTGCCCACGTTTTTTTATGGTTATGTCCTGGCAGCCCACCACTATTCATTTCTCGCCAACGCATGCTTCTCCAAAGAACTCTGTTTTGAAAACACGTTCTTCAAGTTTGAGGAAGTTAGACAGAGAAAAAAAAAGAGAGCAAGATGTTCTCATTGGAGGCATACGTTGCGAGCTTGCGTGTGTATGTGTGGACTGGAGATTAAAAAAAAAAATGTTTCAATGTGTCATCTCCCTCAACTTGTAAACTGTGCAAAAGTTTTCTGTCAACTGTCTCTACTGTGCTGTCTCAACTTCTTGTGCATTAAAGTTGAGTCCGTGTGTGTCCTTAAATTTGCTCTAGTGGTATTTCTTTGGTATTCATGCCCACCATTGAACTTACTACACTGACCCTGAGTGAAGGCTAAACGCCGAGCGTGACGCGCCGCTGCCACCCACGGCGGTTAGTGCGGCGAGGGTTTATTCGCCCATTCACTGGTATGATTCCCGGTTGCTGCAGTTTCCACTGCAGTGTTCGTTTAGCCCCTTAGTCAATAAAAGTAACAGTTGGGGTTCAACGTCCGAAAACCACGCTATGATTACGAAAGACGTCGTGTGGTAGTGTTTTCAGGAAACTTTGACCAACTGGGGTTCTTTAACGTGCACCACAATGTAAGCACATGGGACTGAAACATTTTCGCCGCCATCGAAAATGCAGCCGCCTCGGCCGGGATCTGATCGCGGTGACATTCGGTTCAGCAGTCGACCGCCATAACCACTAGGCCACTATGGCGGATCAGCCTCTTATCTGATATTTAGTGTTTAGCACAATGAATTATTGAACCAACCAGTCAGTTGGTTTGTTGTTCAACCAAGGCATCAGTCGGAGAAAATCACCCAATTAAAGTGACAACATTGCAATGTCATTTTGTAACACATCCCTAACCTCACTTACAAGCTGGCTTCACCATGATTATATATATATATATATATATATATATATATATATATATATATATATATATATATATATATATATATATATATATATATATATACACGAAACCCGGATGTGAGGGACGCCGTAGGGGGGGAGCTCCTGAAATTTTGACGACCTGGTGTTCTTTCACATGCACGGACGGACACCGCACAGCACGAGGGCCTCTGCCATTTTACCTACATCCAAATGCGACGACCGTGGCCAGGATCCAACTCGGGACCTTCAAGTCACCAGCAGGGCAATGTAGCCACCGATCCACCGTGGAGGACAGCAAGAAAAGATGGAACGCTTGATTGGGCGAGCTTGTGCTCGGAAGGAAAAGTAGCACACTGAGTGCAACGATGACCTCGTACTAGTTGTCGGTCGTCTCATAATCTCGTCGACGATAAGTCGCGTCAAACCACACGTGGCATCGAAGGGCCGGTAGCGTTGTTACAAGTGGAAGCTTTAGTTCTAGAGTAAACTCTATTCTTTGGCTTGTGCGCGCAGTCGTATCGCAGGGTTCTTAAACGGTGGCGAGCTATTCAGGCGCTACCTGGGCAGGCGCAACGTACGCAACCTGCGAGCCAGTCTACGCGTGTAAACGAGCCGGTCACGTAAAAACAGAAGAAGTATGCGCGTGTGGCATTATCGTTGATCTGGCATCGTTGATTCCAGCGCCACCACGTCATTGTTGATGGCGCCATTGGCAACTATAGTCTCGTCGACAGAGATAAAAGAATCGGATAAAAATACAAGCCAATGTTGAAGACTTGAATAAAACGGTTACGCGAAAAACAAGAAAAAAAAGCGAAAGAAAGCGAATTCAATAACTACAAGTCACCGCGCCGATCAACGTTCTTATCAACTGGAAGCGGCCAGCGAAATGTCGTAATCAATCGTTATCTATGTTTTCAGAAACGCCGGCGGGAGGGAGTGAGAGTCGTTTGTGGGAAAGCGTCAGCCTCTAAACAGCGGCATCCGATTATCCGTTCATTTCGGGTTTGAGACTATTTGCCGTGCGCACGTATGCACGTGTTCTCATTCAGTGCTCATGACGGCTGCATACACACCGTTGCTGCGAGCTTTCGGGGTTTCGTTTTCTGCGAAATGCGTGCGGTTTCTCTTGTGACTTCGTCCTACAACAGGGTGGTTGTCTCCTTTCCCTTTCTTAAGCTATGGGGTCTGTGAGTCAAGCTAACGTTTTCTTTAGCTTCTTTCACCACTGTTACCGACTGCTTGTGTGCGCGTACTTCGTCGCTGCACGTCGAACGCTGTGAACTCTGAACGGAATGAACTGCGACGCCCATGGCTGCTTGACCGGTGTATTTCTGGTCCTTCACGCTGGGTGAGTTCGGTTTGCTGGCTTTATTTTAGAAGAAATTCGCTGCTTTGTAGCGAGAAGCACGAAATGAGTGTCCTTTTAGAAAATAATTATAGCAAAAATAGATTGCATGGTGCTGCGAATAGCGTGCTAACGGCAGTTCTTTTACACTGAGTGTATACGGAAAGCGCGCGTTTAAATACGTGCAGCAGTAGACGCGCCGAGAAGAAGCCTTGATTAAATTAGCGGGGAAAGTCTGTCCACCTCCCTATTTTAGGGTCATGTGGCTTAAGTAGAATCGCTACATATGTACAATACCAACACCGCACAATTCGAATAAAATATAGAAGTGTCTGGCGTTGCGGCAAGTCGCCGTCAACCTTGGCTCTGGCAGTTGTGATGTCTTAGAAACAGTGAACCGCGAAACGGCATGGCAATCAGTGACCAGCCGGTAACACGGGCCCACTGCTGACAGTTGCGAAATAGCGGTATCCTTATTCCTCTTGGGCTATAGTGATAATCTACCAGTCATTATTTCAGAAGACTTGCCAAATGTGCTCCACCCCATTATTATTTTTCTAGTTACCTCGATCTCGTGGTTGGGCTCCGTGGTTACTACCCGTCTTAAGTAGACGCACTCTGATACAACTTCAAGTGTACTGCTGCCTATCTCTAAGCGCTGTTCTCTTCCGAGGTTGTTGTTCGTTACTTTCATTTTCTGCAAATCAACTTCAAGGCCTACCTTTCTGCTCTCCTTGCCTGAGTCACTAATCACGAATTGCGATTTGTCCCCCGAGTTACTCAGCAATGCAATGTCATCTGCGAAGCGCAGGCTACTAAGGTATACTCTCCATTAACTCGTATCCCTAACTCCTCCCATACTATAGGTCTCTGAAAACCTCCTGTAAGCACGCGGCAAATAGCATTGGGGAGATCGTATCCCCTTGTCTTACACCCTTTTGTATTGACATTCTCTCACTTTCTTTAGAGAGCCCTATGGTGGCAGTTGATCATGTGTAGATTTCTTTCCAGAATGTTTATATGTGCTTTGTCGACGCCCTTTCGCAGTGTCTGCATGACTGCTGATACCTCTACTGAATCAAATGCCTTCTCGCAATACAGGGTGTCCCAGGTGATTTTAGCCAGAGTTTAAAATGTGCTGGCACACGCAATTACGACGCGACCAAATGCATGTTGCTCACCGATGCCTGAAGTTAGTCAGGCTATTTTTTGTGTTCTCAAATATTGTTTAATTAGATCTGTTTAAGTAACTTTTAAAGGAATGAAGACACATGAAAAATTTCAATGAGAAAGTTGTAGATCGGTCTGCAAAACGTCCGAATAGATAGTTTTGAACTTAATATCTGTTAAGTATTAGTGTTTTTCGCGAATTACAAATGCCGCGAAATACAAAAAACCACGTGACAAACCCGCTTCCGCGTACGTGCTCACGATGATTCTAGTGCTCCCTAACGTTCCGTCTACGAACGATACGCTTCACTCGCATCGGTTCATGACAGCGATAAGCAGTCACAGCAGTTATCGCCTTCGTGGCGTATAGAAAAACGAGTTCATCATAAAGCCAACACCATCATTGCAGCCTTGCCTAGACAGCACAATGGGGCAAATGCTATGGTCGTTCGTACGTGGAATGTTAGGGAGCACTAGAATCATATTGCGCACTGACGCACGAGCGGGTTTGTCACGTGGTATTCGTTTGTATTTCGCGGGCATTTGTAATTAGCAGAAAAATACTAACACTTTACTGATAAAAGGTTCATAACTGTCCAATCGCACGTTTTGCAAACCAATCTACAACTTTCTATTTAAATTTTTTACCCATCTTCGCTTCTTGAAAAGTTAGTTAATTGAACAGATATGATTAAACAATATTCAAGAACACAAAAAATAGTCTAACTCCAGGTAACGGTAAGCAACATGCATTAAATCACGTCGTAATTCCGTGTGCCGGCATATTTTTGAACTCTGGATAAAATTACCTGGGACACCCTGTATATGAAGACAATCTACAGCAACTGGGTGTGATCTGAGCATTTCCCTATCACCTGATTGATAGTATCAATGTGCTGCTTGATCCTTTGGTTGATTGAAATTTAGTTTTGTGTGAATTCTGTTAAAAATTGCCGTTGTAAATAGCTTTTATAGGACGGAGAGCAAGCTGATCATCCTGTAATTCTACAAGTCCTTGTCGTCCCCCTCTTTATGGATTAAGATCATGTCAGCGTTCTTCCGGTACTCGTAGTAAAGTTGTAGATTGGTTTGCAAAACATCCGATTAGGCAGGTATGAACTTTATATCAGTTAGGTATTAGTGTTTTCTGCTAATTACAAATACCCGCGAAATACAAAAAATACCACGTGACAAATCCGCTCGACCGTAAGTGCGCATTGTGATTCTAGTGCTCCCTATGGAGCGGAAATCTGAAGGTTTACAAAAAAGGGTTCAGCTTAAATTGAGGACGATGCAGCGAGCTATGGAAAGAAAAATGACAGAGGTACCCTTAGGAGACAAGAAAAGATTAGAATGGGTCAGGGAAAAAACCGGGATAACAGATACCATAGTTGAAATAAAGAAGAAATGGACATGGGCTGGTCACTGTGGGCAGGATAACCGCTGGTCATTAAAAGTAACTGCCTGGATTCCCAGAGAAGGCAAGCTGGTGAGTGGGAGACAGAAGGTTGGGTGGGCAGATTGAGATTAGGAAGTTGGCGGGTATAAAGTGGCAACAGCAAGCAGAGGATCGAGTTGCAGGCGCAAAACGAGAGAGGCATTTGTCGTGCAGTAGGCGTAGTCAGGATGATGATGATGATGATGATGATGATGATGATGATGATGATGATCATCATCATCATCATCATCATCATGATACTCAACACATGTCGGAAGCTTGCGTTTCATTATTGAAATTGCACTTCTACGCAGGTGGTGTGAAGTCATACGTGACGCTTCTACAAAGTTCAGGTGACCCCAAGCTTTTGAGGTGCAAATACTCTCCCAAGACAGGGCAGCTAGAATGGGCTATCCTACCCAAGGAACCAATCCATCATTAAGACGGATCCTAAAGGGCAGCTCTAGGCAAAGAAGTACTGCACTAAATAGGAAACGAAATGCGTCTTTTAATCGAAGCTAGTCTTTGGGTTCCTCAGAACTAGGATGTCTCGAAGAGGAGTATCGAGGCACACTCACGAGTTCCTATTCAGGCGGACACTTGGCGACGCAAGTAAAGGAATCTAGAAGGCGGTGACCTTGCGAACATTCACACCCGGGTCGTCCACAATCGTAAGCGTCGTCGTCTTGATCCTCTCGTTTGGGGCAACGTTCCGGGTAGCAAGACTTTTGCGCAACGAACACCATGTTCTCGCCGAAGCATTTGGGAGGACACGAGGCGATTGGCACGCAGGAACCACCGTCCCTCGATGACCTGCGTGGCCGACGTCACATCCTTCTATATAGATATCAATTGATTGATTGATTGATTGATTGATTGATTGATTGATTGATTGATTGATTGATTGATTGATTGATTGATTGATTGATTGATGTGTGTGTGGAGTTGAACGTTCCTGAAACCACCATCTCAACCATATCATTGGGTCTAAATTTCCTGTGAGCCGTCCACTACATTGTCTCTCAAATTCTAGCACGGCTTTAGGGCGCAAGAACACAATATATTACCTATTAGGTGCAGCTGCGCAATCATGTGCACTGCGATACCGAATGCAAGCAAAGCCCACCTCACAAACCCATCGAGGCAGTAGCAACCGGACGTGCAAGTCCTGGGGCACGGTGCGGGATAATCCTCGCCGCAGACGGGCGGACATCCACCGCAGCTGGAGTAGTCCGAGAAAGGGTCGTTCCAGCAGGTGCGACAGTCGCTTTCGGCTATGCATTCGCCGAACACGGAGCGCCTGAAGCCTTGTTTGCAAACGCAGCCCGGGCAACCCTTTCCACCCGTGGTGTTGGCGAGGAAGGGATGTTTCCCTGGGTTGTGTTTGGAGGAGAATATGAGAGTGGGAGAAAAGTTCACCATGTATGCTTTTGTAGACGTTACAAAAATGGAAATTTAAAAGCTATAGATTCTGCTGAGTTATGAATATGGCTCAGACTACAATATCGATGTTGCAAAAGAGCCTGCGAGCCTGCGGAAACTCGCGTACTTGTGTCCATGTGCTTCGAGTTGTCGATGAATTCGCCCTCGTGCCATCAATTGCTAGCTACCTGGTTAGCTCAATTGGTAGAGCGACCGCCCTGGAAAAGGCGTTGGTCGCGGGTTCAAACCCCGGACCGGGACAAATTCTTCGGCAACTAAACAGCTTTTCTATCTGAGAAATTCATTTGGATTTTTTGTTTACCTACAACACCGATATTGTCAGCCAACAAATGTTCCAAGTGGTACAGTATCTGCGATCTTGGTTTTCAATGCAAGGCTGTATGTTTGCACATTGCTGGCTTCTATTTTCAAAGCATACTGGTATTATCACGCTGCCGTCCCCCACTCCCTTATTTTCTTTTATTCCTAATTTGTGAGCGCATCCACTACCAACTGACGCCGCTAAAAAATGAAGCTTTCCCTAAGCATGGTGACCCATTACAGCTGAAACAGCTGATATTCATGAACTGTTTTCCCATGAGCAGCCGTTGATAGTCAATTAGGTTGATTAGGTCAACTGCACTTAGGGACTAACTGTTAATACGTGTCATAGTGTCATCTGCTTACCATCATTGGCGTTTCTCCGACACGGAAGATCAGGCCTGGCACATGGGTCTCCCGGTTCCTCGTTGAGCTGGCAGTCAGATAGCGACGTTTCTTCTGATTCTATTACAACCACATTGGTGATTTCAGATACAATCCCCGACAAATAGTGGTGAAACACGTATACTGTAGCATGTCGCAAATGCTCGCAGACAGAGAACATGTACATTAAATTTGTTGAAAAACAATATGCATTCACTGAAAGAAGTGCTCGTATATTGTCCCGTACGTGTGCACAATATATGCCAGGGTACTCTTTGACGTGGGCGACAGTTGAAATTCTCTCTGCAAATCCTCTTAACCCCATCACCACTCCAACAGCCTCCTTTTTTAACGGATACGAGGACACCCTCCTTTCTGGGATGTTGCGCGTGATCACACAGGCGACGTCACAGCCTCGGCAGTGCGCTGTGAAGGGGGGGGGGGGGGGGTCACGCATGTTAACAACAGCCTAGAGAGGACTATGGCGGTGTCCGGGGAGCTTTCAGTGAAAAGGTCTAGCAGCATTGCGTGTGACACGCCGGTGAAGCATGCCTCCCGCCGCAAAAAAGTTGCGTGTGACACGCCGGTGAAGCATGCCTCCCACCGCAAAAAAGTATCAACAGATGGCCTTGAGGTTACAAAGATGGCCGCCTCCAGCGCTGCAGCATTAGAACACAAACACCCTTCCTACTTTCTTTCTATGCACGTCATAGATGTGCAAACGCACGTCCTGAACTTAAAAGGGCGTGTACGACGAACACAGAAGTTTAAAAACCTAAACGTGAGATACCCTCAGCCCTCCTCTTAAAATGTTTTGGGGAGCACCCTCTTATATGTACACACGAGACATGTATGGATTTTGTTCTACATTCTTTGTGTAAACATAAGTGAATGTGTTTGCACTTTTCAATAAGTGCTGCGAAGAACCGGTTAGAACCAGTTGAAAGACCTCAGGGACAAAACCATTTCTTCGGTACTTTCAAGTCTGTTAATACATTCCGAATCACACGAGAATAGCGCTAATTTCTGTACGGTGTGGTGGTACAGTAGCCACATGCAGAGCATACACTGCAAGTCATTGCCATCAATGAAGGTGCCGTCAACAGGCCGAAAAAGTGCTACCTTGTCAGTGTGCACATAGAATAAATATTGTGGCGAGACAAGTCTTTTCTAGAAACTCCGGTAACAAGAAAAATTGCACAGAGACTGGTGAAGAACTTGTAAATTTAATAAAAAAGTGTATTTGTAAGATTTCTGTGAACCAGCAGAACCACGATACATACGGTATGCGCTGTAAATTTTTGGAGTGAGAAACATGTGCATTAAATTAAGCAACAAATGAACAAACTAACTGTACACGAATGTTTTATCTATTTCGTTGGATGCATGAGAACAGTAACTTATATAACTGCCACGAACATTAAAGGTGACGAGGGGTCTCATTCAGGAATCACTAATTATAAATTAATATACCAAATTCAGATTAATTACGAAGTATCGCACACTATATCAGTACAAACTGCGTCTCTTGACAACGTTGGTCGTGGCTTATTTTCTTCATTGTGTAATGACCACGCTGATAAGCGATGAGCACTGTATTGGGGCTTGTTTTGAACACAAGGCAACACCACTCGCAAGGTATCATCCACTACGCCAGCCATTATTGAGGGATAAAAAAAAACATTCCGTATATTCAGACGCTCGCATTTAGCACATAATTCACGAATACCTTCTTATCTTTGCTGAAGTGATAACATAGGTCGACTCCCTGAGAATCGGATCGCGCCGTGATTCTGAGTTTGTGCGAGTCTGGGGGAGCAGTATTTTGACGAGTTTGCGTTCGAGTGAGTTCAGTTACAGAAAATTTCAGTGAGCTCCAGTCCCAGTAAGTCCGGTTGAGAAAATTTTCGTGAGTCTGAGTGAGTGCCCACTTTTTCGCCAACCTACGTTACACCACGTAAAATTATAAAAAAATGTTGAGATTATAAAAATGTTAATGCATCATAAAAAGCAGCTTTCCATAAACGTGGACGACCCCGTATTCCTCGAAGCAATGCGATATGAAGATGACCACTCAGACCCATTCGCATACACATGTGACTCCTAACTACTTGAAGCTATGCCCACTTTCTTAAGACTCTAACCCCCTTATTCACAAACGCTCCTCGACTCGAATTTCACCGTTCACTTGACAGAGGTGAGCACTACGCCACTGCTCAGCTGAAAATGACACTGCGCTACTCAAGAATAGCAGCAAATTATCACTGATATGCAGTGACTTGCCCTGCATAGAGATGGCGCTCCCATCGCCTTTCTCGAGTGAAGGTGGAGCGTTGACTGAAGGGGCGTTCTAGAATATGGGGGTAAAAAACGCCGAGTCTTGCCACTTACCGTCGGGATTCGAGCCCGTAATGACCAACAAGATCGAGCAGATAACGGTTTCCAGAGGCACTCGCATTGTCGGTGAGGGGGATGGTCACTTTATTTTACTTGGATTAAGGCTTTTTTCCTCAACTTGCGAAACTGCAATCATAAACACCAAAGACAAATAGTGGTCACCAGGACGTATTTCTTTTCTTTCAAAGCTTTTGCACACGTCCTAGCTCTTGTTTGATGGTAAACTTCTCTGACTGGATTATGTGTCTGCGTTCACATTATCTGCACTGCATGAAAAGAACAGTATGAGTTACTCTTTTTCAGTTAGTCCTGGCTGGACACATGTATGACTGTCTTCAAAGAGACAGATTAACACTCTGTCATGTCGCACGACTCTCCGACGAGGATGTAGTGATCTCATCATATACTTCACGTATAGTCATATGCATGACTCGTCAGGATTCACCACAAAAAGTCAAGGCACTCTCTGTTTACTTAGAGTGTGCGACACCAATTCTTCATAGTAGATACCTGTCACTTGTCCAAAGAAATAACTGCAGTGACAACACTAAACCAAAAACACTATTACTAACAACAAAAAACAGTAATGATATTGCATAACCAACCCTAACGCAGAGGGTCGGTGCCAGCAGTTATATTGCGAACAGGCGCCGACGCGCCCTCTCCCAAATTTTCCACCTGCCCCCCCCCCCCCTCTCCAAGAGCAAGCGGATTCAAAACACAACGCATAAGTTCTTGGTTCTCCTGCTCCCCTAAATAATTTCATGCCCTTGTCGTGAGTGTTTACCCAGCAAAATATTCGTGTCACCGCCCCCGGAGACGAGGCCTAGCTTTCAACATCGTTACATCTAAATGAACAACAAAAGCGACAGCAAAAAAAAGCAGTAATAACTATGACGTCGATAAGACAGCACTGTTGTTGCTATGTATATCGCCACAAAAGAAGACAAGCCAAACAACTCACACTTCTGCGCCTTCACTTTACGATAGCGCCATGCATCGGCCGTGGTGTCGGCGAGATCGCGGACCGTGCAGTTCTCCAAGCGTATGAACGTTTCGAAGCATCAGAGACGCCAAAAGCGACGTTTGACTGTGACGCCCGGTCGCAGGCCTAAGTTCGTTTCTCCAGCGCGACAGGATCGTATAGTCTGAGTCTTTCATTTCTCGCATTCATCGGAATGAGCGAAGGCGACCGAGCCTGATGAATGGACTATAGAAAGGCCCACAATAGGATGCTAATGGAGCACGGAGGACACGGCGTCTCGTCGCCGTCTGGTGCCCCAAGACATGACGTGTGACGTGGGCTTGGAATATCGCCCCACGTCTAGAAATGGCAAAGCCTTCACGCCGCTAACAACATACTTTTTTCTCTCTCTCCACACACACACACACACATACACACACATGATCCACTACATTCGCCGCCCGCTCTCTCCTGAAGTCTCTCTGAGTCAGGAGACGAAGAGTCGTGAATGCAGAGATCAATCGGTACATAAAGTTTCAACTGGCCTGCATCGGCGAGAAGAACACGGTTTCTGCTTTTGGTGCCCAGTTCGGGAATAGCTTCCAGGCATAAATTAACAGAACCTAGAGACCCATTCGTTTCCCCTGCACTTCCTGAACCGGTTCACGGAGGCGCTGCACATCGGCATTCGTTTCACGAGTTCAACATGGCGGCAGCGGCACCGCAGTGTTCGTTTCGAAAAAGTGCATCTGTCGAGCAAGGCTAGTTCACAGATTCTCTGCACCTGCTCGGGAGGTAGTGCCGACTCCGTGCAGCACAAGGTGGCTGCAGCTGCAGCAGACGACACAGCCGATTGCATTTGTGTATGTTTTAGCGACGTGCAACAAGTACGACTGAACGTTTTCCGGCAGACACATGCCAAGCAACGGAACGT